GCTGTCCAAGTAAGATTCCTGTTAGGAACGACTTTTTAACCTAACCTAATCTTCGTATGATTCGTCTCGCTTCACTTTTCGTCTGCACAGTAATGTGCAGTGACAGTATCTTGCTTTGCTTTGAAAGCAAAATAAAAATCAAATTCGCAGGGGTATTTATAAATGCCATAGGTATGCGAGTATGTGTGGTCATATCGTTATAAATTAACGTAAACATTTTTTTTTATTTTATTTAAGTGATAGTTTGCAATTGATTACATATGATTCGGATAAGTACCATATACAGGTTGATCAAAAAGTTTCTGCGCTCGAAATGAAAAAATACTGTTTTTGGTACGAAATATATTTTTTTATTCAATATAATCTCACTTAACTTCAATACACTTATTCCAATGATACTCCAATAGTTTTATGCCATCCCCATAATGACCATCCGGAAGCTTTGCAAAATACCCGTCTACGGCTGTAAAAGCTTCTTCATTCGACGAAAAACGCTTCAGGTCTTTTCTCACGATTTTTTTTTTATCCAGCTGCTTCAAAAGGCCGCAATAATATTGAGAGTTGATTGATATACCTTTCTGCAGATAATCAATCAACAAAACTTGTTTTGCATCCCAAAAAACTGATGCCATAGAAGGTTTGCTGATCGTTGTGACTTCTCCTGTTTTGGAGCAGAACAACCAGCTTTAGTCCACTGAAAAGATTCTTGTTTCAATTTGGGTTCATGGTGGTAGCTCTAAGTCTCATCGATAGTTATAAAACGACGTAAGAAATCGGTTTTATTCTGCTTAAAACGCTCTAAATTATGCTGAGAAATTTGTTTTCGATCCAGTTTTTGTTGAATTGTTAACGTGTGCGGCACTAACTTTCCAAACAGCTTTTTCATATGTAATTCTTCATGTAAAATCTGAAGTACTCGTTCGTCTGAGATGCCTATGGTATTAGCAATTTCACACCTAGTCAAACTTGAGTCTTCCCTAAAAATATTTCAAACTTGCTCAATGATTTCTGATGTGGTTGCTGTTTTTGGTCGTACTTCGCTTGAATCGTCTTAAAGCCTAGTACGACCACGTTTAAATTCACCGGTTCAAAATTCAACGGTGCGTTTTGAAGGTGAGATTTTTCCTTAGATACTTCTTAGAATTGTTCATAAATTTCCATTACTTTTAAACCTTTCAAAACAAAGAATCTAATCACTGCGCTATATTCAGTTTTTTTCCATATTAAAAATACGCTGTCACGTCAACTTCAAATGGCTTGTAAACAAAGAATTAATTGACGGAATGACTTCTATCTTTGCATGTGTTCTCACGACAGATGTACTAACTTGAGAAAAAAATTGAAGCTAGTAGTGCTATTTCTTGGTGTGAGCAGAAGCTTCACAACCACCCTGTATATACTTGTAGATAGATAAATATATAATAGCAGCAATATGTACTTAATTACTTGCAAATCAGGCGAAATTTCGCAACTCACGTGATAAGATAAGATAAGAGCAGCTGTCTAGCTAATTAACTTCATTACTGTGTACACATACACAAAAACACACACATAAATACATAGTTATTCATACATCTGTACATACATACATATGATGAGTGCAAGTTACAAATTTGAGACTAATACATTTTTTGCTGCAATTTTTACTTATTTAATCAATATTATTATAACGATATGAATATATATTTCAGATTTTATGGTATGTGCAGTATGTCAATTGATAAGGCCCTTAACGTCACCTTCCAAAAAAATTACTTCCGAACAATTCTGCTAATAAGAGTTGTTGTCAGACGTTTCAAATATTTCACATTATCTTGACAATAAATCATTTTGTTAGTTTTATGGGAATCATTCACGATTTATTACCAACCGAATTGGTAGGTGTAGTATATGAACCATACATCCAACCATGCATACATCTATCAGTCTATGATGTTGCCAGAAAAATACAACATTGTAAATGCTGTCACATGGTTGCTAATTATTATTACATTGCTAACATGTGTAAAAATTGTATAGACATAATGAATGTGGATTTATATTATTATACAATACAATAGATCGCCAGATCAACAAGGTTACATGCTTAGATTATTTAGATTGTTTAGATTACTGTAGATTATCGCTCTTATTTAACACGTCTAACTAATAAATCAAGATCATAATTCCATTTACTTACTTACCCCACATAAAGATACAGCAAGTATCTGTTTTACACAGTCACACAAATAATCATAATACGTATGTTAAACGTTTACACAATTTCTGACAACTTATTATGTTTGTTGTGTGCATAATCCAAATTACTCGCATAGACCTAAGTTTTCATTATATAATATATTATCTTGACTTTATCCATATACCCTAAGTCCTCGACATATTACTTTTAGCAAGTATAAGACTACCCACCCATTTTATTTTTGTGTTTAATATATGGCCTTTTAGAACTACTTAGATATGAAAATGATGTGTTTGTAAGATTAGTAGAATTTTTAGGGCACTTGAAACATTCCCAATGATATTCTTGACTGCACCAGTCAAGTTTCGTGTCGAAAAGTTGAGGTTTTCTCATAATCTCTCGATAGTTCCATTTTTTTAATTAATAAAAATGTATATTTTTTATATTTTGCCGAATTGACAATTGGATAAAAATAGACTACCGTTTGGTTTATGTAGACCCGACTGCCTTGGGAATGGAATTGCATTTTAAAAGTGCCGCATCGGAGACTTAATTCTTTACTCGTACATTTTCTAATACTTACAATTTGAGGTTTTGAATAATGGCCGATCTCAGGAAATCAAATTTCAAAGTAGATCCTATCGTGAGTGACTATATTTACATAAATCTATTTGCTTATTTTATACCATATATTATATTATATATATACCATAGAATGCGCAATTCTGAATTAACGCAAACTTATTATCTATATTGTGTGCAGTTAATTTTATTCAGTGATAAATTGCGCTTAATTATACACGATGCTGACATGACAATAGTTTGCAGGAAAATATATAAATACATACATATATTTTTAAATAACACTTGATCAAATTTGAGCCGGACTGACAAAAAAACTACATTTTCACGTATTTTATTACAAATCATTATTATCGCCTTTGAAATAGGCTTCTTTTAATACAAACATGCCAACGGTTAATCCATATTTCCAAACACTTGTTATAAGCCTCAGCTGGATTGGCCTTTAGTGGCTTAAAATATTTTTGTTGTTTTTCGGTTTCAGCTAATTTTAGGAGTGCCTTTTGCTAGTTTGTTGGACAGTTTCAACATCATATTCATAAACTATAAATGTAGGGTCCTCATCTACTTTGTATTTTGCGACCTCTAAATATTCAGGTATTTTGGAACGTTTCACGCCTCATACCCAAAACATTCACCAAAATGAGTTGAGTCGATCTTCTCTTGTGGGATGTTCAGATCCTAGGCTATATCTCTGTTTCCAATACGACTGTCAAGCACTGTTTCCTTAACTTTTTATTAGTTTTCTTCACGACCTGCACTGAATGCTTTGTGCCATTCATATGATCAGGTATTGATACGTCTGTCATAAGAACATAACCAAGCTGATTTTTGAGCACATTTTCCCTCACTCTTTTAATTTTAGTGTTGTTGTTGTTGCGATATAACGTTTTCCAAATAATTTTGCTGAGTGGACAGTATTTCGTGTGGTAAAAATCTGTGTCTGTTCCGGTTACATATCTATCAACGTTCATAACGGTAGATGAATAGCATAAGATGAGTTTTCTACAACATCGCTAAACTTTATTGATTGCTACACAAAATTTTGATTACTGTTATTTAATGTTATTTTTGTTTAATTATAAATTGTTAGGACGTTTATAATTAAACAATTAAGTTATTTTCCCAATTGAACCCTTAATTGTTTTGAATTTTACATGCAACGCAACAATTACTTAATTTCTCGAAGAGGGGATGCACAAAAAATTACCCGAGTAATTTTATATTGTATTTTCATTCGATTTTCCATAAGGATCCTTGAGTATCAGATTGCTGTAATGTTCAAGCGTGTCACCTTACGTTTCAAATATTTATCAAGGCTTCTCTGTTTCCTGCTCACAACCCGATTGCAGTCAAAATTCGATATTAGCGTTTTTTGATCATTTTAATCACAGAAATTTAATCAGGAAATCATATTTAATAAATGTAAACAAAAAAATTAAATAATTAACACTTTGAGTCAATTAGCTAAATATATTGACTCAGCCATGTTGTGAAATTTATTTTGATTGGCTAAAAACTTTATCGGAGCAATCAGCACTTTGTCTAAATTATCTAATTGCATTTAATTCACAACGGTGGATATTTAAATGAGGTAGAGAATGTGTTGCACTTTTGGTTAAAAAAAAATTTCCAAAATTTTAGTGTGCTTGTGTAACGTGTGTTGTTAGTGTGATATAGTGACTTATAAATTGGCTTAATTTAATTGAAATACAGATTGAGATAATGTAAGTTGAACCCAACAGTGGAGGCATGGATAGTGATCGTGTGATGGGGTTGACACCAGCTGCAAGCGGAAAGTGTCAGCCAACAAATTGTGAATATCAACACAAATTTACATACATCACTGCATGAGGACAAGGTCATTGCAATGACACACTAATTTCACCAATTTTCCACTTGTTGGTGTACATATCGCACCATAAGGGTTAATTTCTATGCTTCAAAGCATAACCAAAGGCACGCACCACCGAACGATTTAATCAATTTGGAAAGCAAAACAGTGTCATCATGTCAAGTGCTTGGTGTCACGGAATGTACATGTACATATACATATGTATGTATGGTATATACATATGTAAGTACATGCTGCAAGTGCCGGCAATGATTGTTATGATTAGGCGTACAATTGGATGATACACACGGAATGGTTAGCGGCAATCAGACAAACGAATTCGTGCTACATACACATTTTTAATGATTTTTATTATTTGTTTTTTTTTTTTTTTTGCAATTCTAGAAATTCACCGATGGCATCACAAATAAGCTTGTCGGTTGTTTCTATAATCCCCCGCAAACCAACACAACAACAATAACAAACAACAGCAATGGCAATGAAATCGACACAGGCAGCGCCTATGGCAATGACACGCCCAACTCACCCCCTACTTTGGCATCATCCACACTGTTGGACGACAACAATGACTCGGGCAATATCAGCGACACGGATACATTGGATTCAGAGGTGACTATGTCGAGCGCACTTGACATAGATAATAGTCATAATGCCAGCAACACTGTGAATACGAAAGCTGAAAGCCAAAACAGCATTCCGATCAATGAGAGCAATGTAGCACTGGTGCGTGTCTATGGTAACAAAACCGATCTGCTGATCGATCGTAAAGCCGAGACACGCAACATACAGCTATTGCATACGTACGGTTTTGCGCCGACACTATTTGCCACATTCAAAAATGGTTTAGTTTACGATTTTGTACCTGGTGTAACATTGAAGCCAACCAGTGTTTTGGAGCCGAGCGTTTGGCGTTTAGTCGCGACACGCATGGCCGAAATGCATCGTCGCGTGCAGGTGCAGGAGACGCCAGCTGATGCAGCTTGCGGTGCTGCTGGAGTGGTGCCAATGTTGTGGCATAAGACGCAAAGTTTCTTCAATTTGGTACCTGAACGTTTTAGTGATCCCGAAAAACATAAAAGGTAATTGCCAACGTCGAAATACGAAATTTATTTCGTCACATGCCAAACTCATTATTTTATAGGCCACCCCAACCCAAAGAATGTTTAGAATGCAATGATGGACTTGGATGGGGGCGGCGGCAACGCGGCGACCCAAACGGCTAAGGCTCGGGCCATACAGGCTTCGGCTGCGGCTAATGGCGTCTATATATTGCGGCAAGAACGGGCGTTGCGGGCGTTGATTTACAATCGATTGGGCATGTAGCGAGAGGAGGTATGGGCAATGGAGAGTGTTGGAGTCGCGTGGCGGTGTAGGAGCGTCCATAATTTAATGTCAAACGCCTTAGAATGTAACGTGGCGTTACGTTGCGTTCCGTTCGAAACTTGTCTGACTTCTATGTTCTCGTACGGCTGCATCACATTAGAAAAGCAAGAAAGTGCATGCATTAAAAAAACTATTAATCGTCAGCCGTTGATCGCTTGCTTGTTCGTTGGCGTTCCTTCGTGGGATTGCTCGTGGCACGCGTTGAGCTTGCACTAGGCGCTAGCAGGCGCGTATTGGATCTGCCTACTCGAAACTCGGCGCTCGCACTTCTTCTTCGTCTATTTGTCGTTGTGTCTTCTTCGCTCGCTTGCCTACACCCGCTCACTCGTTCGTTCGATCGATCGTCTGCTCATTCGTACCATTCGATTTTCGATTCCATATGAAACTAGTAATGTTTTTTACTTACTTTTTTGTTTTTAAAAAAAAGAACACAATTCATTTTAAATAGCATTCTCTGTTGCTTTTAACATATTTATAAATCAATTTTATAACAAAAAAAAACTTTAATTTTAATTAGTTGTATGCATTACATTAAAAATTTATATGAACAGAGCTGCTGTACTTATGTTTATGCATATGTACTACTCAAAAATCACTTCATTAAAAGTAAACCACATTCAGTACTATTAGCTTAGCAGACACACATACACAAACACATATAGAAATAAGTATATAAAAAAATATATTGCAAAAGTTGTAAGCATCTAAATTGAACGCATTTCTTCTTGATTTTTTCTCTTCCCCTCTGTGCGTTGCGCAAATTTTTTTTGCCTTCACTCACATGAAACCCAACCCACACCCCCAATTACAGAGTTGAGGAAACTTTCTTGCCCATAAAACGTTTACGCGACGAGTTCAATGCGCTATACAGGCGGCTCGAGCGTCTGGGCAGCCCCGTGGTATTCGCCCACAACGATCTGTTGCTGGCCAATATTGTCTACTTGGAAGCAGAGCAGTGTGTCAATTTCATTGACTACGAATATGCCGATTACAATTTTCAGGCATTCGATATTGGAAATCATTTTTGTGAATTTGCCGGCGTCGACGAAGCGGACTTCTCACGCTATCCGAAGCGTGATTTTCAACTTGCTTGGCTGCGTGTCTATCTGCAGGAATATCTGCAACGTTCCGAAATTAGCGACGCCGAAGTGGAACGCCTATACTTGCAGGTGAACCAATTCGCGTTGGCCGCGCACATGCTCTGGACCATTTGGTCGCTCATACAAGCGGAACATTCCAACATCGATTTCGATTATGTCGAGTAAGTAGCAATGCATTTCAATTTTTCGTAATCATGCATAATTTTTCAAAAACTAATTTTCACAATAATTAAAAATTTTTTACACCAAAAACTCAGATACGCTCACATACGCTATGCGGAGTACAAAAAGCATAAATCCATAATAGGCTTGCGCACCACAGAGGATGATGATGCGGCAGCTGAGAACAACATTGCGGCGCAAAGTTAAGTTCACCATATGCACACAGCGCATCTAAACACAGCCGCGCGCCGGCTAGCTGCTAGCTTTCGAACTGTGCATGAGAGTATGACTCAAATGCTTGCTGGCATGCTTGACTAACTGAAATGTCGACGAATTTCGTGGTTTAAAAGGCAATAAGCTGCAAATATTACAACAAAAACGGTCACTAAGCAACGTTTATTTGAACTCGTTACGTTTGTCTAATAATTTGCAATAGAAGACATAAGCAAAAGTTTGTATATTCATGTGAATCCGTTGCGTAGTCGTTCTTCTTGTGTGTGACGTACGGTGCTATGACGTAAATAACAGTGAAAAATTAATTAATTTAATTTTGACAAACAAAAAAAAAAAACATTCCGCAAGCATTAATTATTTAAATACGATTTTTATGTAATACAAATTGTAATTATAAAATACGTTAAAGATATTGGAAAAATAGAAAACAAACAAGAACAAAAAAAAAAAAAAAAAAATAGAAACTAGTAAGCCAGAAAAGTGTTGACAACGCATTGTGATTTGTTTTTAGTTTAATTCGAAAGCATTATCGTTTTATTTATTGTCGTAATATAACCTCATTATCCAACTGCATTGATTAATTTTTAAGTGTTGAATAAAAGGGTATATATCTAACATATCTACATGCTAAAGCCGCGATTTCTGCTTTGACGGGCTGGTGTGTGATAGCAGAGTATCCCTACAGTGTAATCAACTTTTAATTGGTGAGAGGCAGGACTTTCCCGAACTAGTGTCAGTGTGACATTTCTTGTTACAAACTAGTCTTTTATAACCAGTTCGATTTAGTCAGGCATTTCTAGTTAAAAACAAGTCTTTTTCCCGCAAATTATATTTCAATCACAATTTTTGTGTTACAAACTAGTCTTTTCTGACAAGTGAGATTTCAGTTAGATATATCTATCTAGTAGCAAACTAGTATTTTCCCGCAAATTAGATTTCAGTCACAATTTTCTTGTTGCAAACTAGTACTATTCCTGATTACTTTGTTATTATACTTTAGGGAAATATAATATTTCGTTTAATATTAACATTTCTTATCTAACCTAACATTTTTATCGCATTAAAAATACATACCTATATTCTTACATTTACATTTAGCTTGTGTTATCAATAGCTTCATAGTATATTATAAAATTATATTAGTAATATATAAAAGTATATTTGCTGAATTAGCGTTTTTGCGACGATTTGAAGACAGAAAACTATTGAAAGCAATAAAAACTAAGTTTACAATGTTTAATAAATTAACTTATTTGATAAATTACATATTTATGTTAAATGCAGTCGTAGGCCTTGTGCCGTAATTTTACAGCCCACATAACATTTAATATAATAGTAATATGACATTTCTAACCAAAGTATATCATGATTTGCTAAGGGAAGCCAAATTGCATTAATTTGCGGTTTTTGACACATTTTTCGAACATATTTATATTCTAAAGTTATCTTTAACGCATTTCACTTTTAACTCGTCGCATTTAGTGCTCAAATAAATTAAGACAGCATTTTGGATAATTTGTACTACACAACTGGAACAGATTTAGAGAAGAAAGGCTTTTAAAGTACATAAAATTAAAAAAATATATATATTTGCTATAAACATTCGCAGTAAAACTAAAATAGGGTTATAGAAGAATAAATTTTTTTCAAAAAAAAACCAAAAAATCCGAAAATATTTTACTTGTAAAAATGTTAAATATTTATCTAAAGCGCGTTTCAAAATTTCAATACTTCGAAATTTACAAACTTTGATATTTATTTAACCAACTGAAATTTTAAAATGTTTCGATAGACACTAACTATGGGCGTTACATTTAAATTTCACTCTTTTCTGCTAAATTTTTAATTACTGAACTATAAATTTTCAAAACTAGCAAAATGAATATTGTTCTACTTGAATAATGTTAATATTTAAATAGATACTTTTTTGTCTTGTAAAACAAGTCATCATTAACACGTCTTAAATACCTAAAATACTTACGACGGACGGGTCTAAGTAACTGGTACGGATCCGGATTTTTATCCGGACTGTCAATTAAGCACTATTCCACGAAATTGCTTCAGGAATATTTTCTGCCGCTAAAATTTCGAATAACTCCTAAATATTTTGAATAAAAAAAAAAATAAAACAATTTTTGAGTGAAAACCATTCCTTTAGTTTAATGATAAACTTTGGTACCAAAAAAAATCATAAATTTCCGAATCACACATCTGCTAGTAGTTGGCTAAATTACTACAATATATATGGTATATACCATTTTTTTAAGAGGTTACATGGGTTTCGTCGAGCAAAAAACGCCCTATTTTCAATAATTTTAAAAAGAATAATAATATAAAAAAATATTTTATCAAAACTTTTTATTATCCCGAAGATACATATTTGATGAAGATTTTGTGAAATTTTCAAATGAAAATATTCAAAACTCGGTCATTACGACGTCATTTTCGGCAGTCCTTCGGAAAAGACAGGATCGTCAAAAGTAAAAAGAAAAAAATACGTGTTTGGACGAAGAAAAAACAAATAAAGTGAAAATTGTATTTTTGCAGACATTTTTTCCAAAAAAAGCAAATTTCGATGAAAACTTTTCGACTTTTGTTTTTGTTTTTCTAGTTTTTAAAATAGTTCTAATTGACAAAAAAAAATCCTTCGTTCAAAAACTTGTAAATTATAACTCAAAGTCCTGTCTAAAATTTCATTAAGATCAGTTTCGAGAAAAAACGTTTAAAGTTTTAAATGACTATATAGCTGACCTCGAGCGCGCAACTTTTCAAAGCTGTATCTTCAAAACTATTACTGGGATCAACTTGAGTATTTAGAACAATATTCTAGATATGTTATAAAATTAAATAAGACAATAAAAATTTATTGTTTTTGAATAAAATTCTTTTAACACCTCAATACAAAGATTGTTCATTAAAAGTTATAAAATTTGACATAACGAACAGCCCTGGTAATGTGGATATTGCTAGTAGAGTGACAATTCAATGTTATTGTTGTTGTAGCGGCAGAAAACATTTCTAAAATAAATTTGAAGAATGCTGCCGTGTTGACAATCCTTGGTTGGATAAAAATCTAGATGCGTTCCGGATGCGTAGACCTAACTGTCGTGGAAACGGTTGCATTCAATGCAAAGTAACAGTCTATAGCTTTTCCCGTTTATTTATAAACCTAGCATCTTTTTACGGTTTAAGGCTTTCTAAATTTACCATTTATTTTGCATAACTCACACGCATTTTGATTTTAATTTTATAGAAATGCTGTTATATTCCAAATAATATGGCATTTCACAATATATTCTAAATATACTGCATTTCTCACTAACACTACGATTTATTTCACATTATTATTATATTCTTTATAAATAAATAAATATTTTGTAAAACTTGCTTAGATAATTCGCTCGCAAATCTTGTATAAATCTAGTAGTGGTGCTAATTAGAAGTGTTAAAAGCAGATCAATTAGTTGCGCATGCTCCTCGTGAGCATGTAAATTTTGTTAGTAATATTGAGAGAATATTGATAGCAAGTGTTATATAAACGTTTATATAGTATACAAGCATACACATAGCATACAAATATTACGCGTAGTTTTCTTACAAAGACGTGAGAACATTTGGTTACACAAAATAAAAAATAAATCGCATGTAACAAATTTTTACCAAATGAAATATAAAAAATATTACAACCACAAAATATGATTATAAAATTAGTGCTCAGTAATGTTGATGATCGGTCTTAAGGTCTTAAGGAATACGTGTATGTATGTAGTATATGTGTATGTTACAAAATAATAATTTATTATAAAATAGTTGTTTAGAATGAAATGTTAATAGCGGGGGAAAAGAGGGTAAACTAAAAAATATATAATAAAAATATAACAAAATATATATAAAGTGCATAGTAGTGTGCATAAAATACTACACACAAACATACATATATACAAATTAAAATACCTATCATACTAATCAATAATGTTAATGCAAAAAATGAATATCACTAACTAAATATATATATAATATTATAACATATGTATATGTACGTATATATCATTCTATTATAATATTATTAAAAAAAAAAAAACAAATATAAATATATATATAAACCTTTGCGTATATTTTTTAATGTTTGACAAATTGTTTTTGGTTTTTATTCAAATAAAAGAAATGTGTACAAATCAAAGTGGTATTATTTTTTCTGTGCAGTTTTTAGAGCAAAGAGTTAAGAGCAGCATTGGCAGCCTTGAAAATTGTTAAACTACTCGTTATTAGTTTTATAATCGGCTAAAGCTGCGTAAATTATCAACCGAAAGTCTTGCATACCTTGACTTCAAAGTTTTTGATTTAATCAGTATTTTTTTTTCGCAATTTTGTTTTTTTCCTCTGGAGCTTTGCATAAATACTTTTATCAATATTTAGTAAGTCATGAAGTTTTCAACACCCAGCAGGAAACTTCGGATACCCTATAATATATGTATATATATAAATTATCAGCATGACGAGCTGAGTCGATTCGGCCATGACCGTCTGTCTGTCCGTCTGGTAGTCTCTAAGTTTTTGAGATATCGATCTAAAATTTTTCACACGTTATTTTCTCCCAAAGAAGCTGCTCCTTTGTCGATACCGCTGATATCGGACCACTATAGCATATAGCTGCCATACAAATTAAACGATCGGAATCAAGTGCTTGTATTGAAAACTTTTTCATTTGACGAGATATCTTCACGAAATTCACGAAATTGTTCGGATCACAATAGCATGCAATTGCCATACAAACTGAACGATCAGAATCAACTTCTTGTAAGGAATCTTTTATATTTGTGAAGCTTCGGTGCAACCTAAGTTAACGTTTTTTTGTATTTAGATTAATTTTGTATCGCCTTATCAGGCCCACGACATACAGAGTGATAGTCGCACGTCTAACCCATTTTAATCGGAGTATAAAACGGAACCAATAGAAAATTTATGTGCGATAGTCTTCGATAAAGAATTGTCTTCAACACTTTAATACAGGTCCTCTGAGCAATGAGCAAAAACAATGAGCCAGTAATTTTTTGTGCGGAACCCCTTCAAAAAATATATTAAAAATCTTCGTATTGCAGTCTTATGCTACATTGACACTCAGTTCACAGAAATATAAACCGTTCAACTTTACGAGAGTCAACAATAATTTTTTAGAAGTATTGAGTACCTTGAATTCAATTAGCAGATTTAGCAATTAACCCTAAATAATCACGTTGTCATAAACTTATGTGAATGAAATAAAAATGTCTTTGTTTTATTATAGTTATTTATTTTTCACATTAATTGTATATACTAGAGATAAAAATTATATTCAATTGTGTTAAAGTTTTTTTTCCTCAGCGCAACTATGAATATTACGCAAATGTATTGTATGTATGTACGTATGTTTCTAGAATTATAGAATTGTATATCATATTCGCTTGTATAATGTATATATTCCATATATTGTATGTATAGGTAGTATTAGGGTTAATGTTATTAATTTTCAATATCACAACACATTTCTAATTAAGAAATCTTTTCTTTTTCCAATAAAGAAATTAAATAAATAATGTAAATTAATGCAGTAAATTACAACAAAAAAGATAGCTATTGTAACAATTTGTTCACAATATATTTATATATTTTAGTTACATGCTATTGAATAAGCCATTCACTAAATTCAGTTCGTTTATATTTGTTTACTTATATGTGTGCATGTAGGTGTATAAAAATTCGTAAAATGTTGGTAACTAAAAACCGATATCACTTCAATGTGGTTGGTGGTTAAGTTAGAAGTTTCAACTAAAAGTAGTCCTTTACTGGATTATCGCACCTAATCGTTGGTGTTTTATATGCAAATAGCTAGAACCAATTTTTAAAACATTCATACTAAATAGTGTATAAATAGTTTCCACGCACAAGTGTGCAGATACAATAAAGCGAAAATATGACTAACGAAAATATTAAACATAAACACCAAGCATTTCAAGTATCATTTCCGTTACTTCGAGCAACACCAATATTTTTTTTTCCAATTTTTTCATATATTTTCATTAGCGTTACGAAGCGTTTGTCGCTAAATAAAATGAAAAATTTCGATTTTTTAACTAAGCTTATAATTTCACATTGAATTTAGCTTCGCTTCATTTAATAATTTTGTGAAATAGTTATTTAAAATAAAATAATAGTACGTTTTGACGTTTGAATTTGTATAATTTTTACGATTTTCGACTTTGCATTTCTTCATTATTAATCTCATTCAATTTGCTTGTTTCTAATGTTATCCATTTTCGTTAAATTTATGTTTGTTTGTTTTTGTTGGTTTTGGGTAGGAAAAATTTTCGATTTTCTGCATGTTTGCCCTCCTATCTACTACGCCTGCTTCATTAGTAGACGCCTCCACACTCCTGGCACAGCAAAGTGGGCGATGTTAGTTATTTCGTTTACAAAACTTCCGATTTATTCTATGAAATCAATTTGTGCCAATGGCAGCACTTCTCTGACAACAACAACCGCACCACATATTCACACATAGCACATACTGCCGCTTGTCGTTTACACTAGCTAGCATATATTTCAATTATTGGCTCTTCGAAGCCTTCTCATCGGCAGTGGCAGCAGCGTTCTGCTCCTTCGCTGTAGCGCCGCCAGCAGCTATAGCATCGGATGTGGTAACTGTTGTTGCGCTGCTTGCGAAAGGCTGTTGTGTGAGCACTCGCATAAAGTATTCACCGAAGACGGAATGATTATAGGCAATTACGCGTTTTAAGGCAGTGGAATAGGCCTCGAGTTCATCTTGGAAATCGGCATAGCCAGGTGGTGGCGGTGGCAAACCGGCTCTCGAACGTATGGCCAAACGGAAATATGTTTGGAAACGTTTCCCTGTTGAAGCCGATAAGTTATACGAGTGAAAAACAATTGTGCTTATTTAAGTAATTGTAAAAAAGAAAAAAAAAATATTATAAAAAATACTTACACATTAGTTGGCCTACAGGTGAATCCTTGTTGCCTGCCTGCATTATTTGCGATTTCAACAACTCCTCCGTATTAGTATCCATTACCGGCTGATTCTCCTTTTGCAAGTACTCATTTATAACGGTCTTGACTTGCAGCCAAACATTTTCTATGGAATCCAAGAGCTCTCTACAACAATAAGACAGTTGTCATAAAAGTGCGTTTTACAACGTTTTTTATTTACTTACTTTTTATTAGAAGTGCCTTGCAATATGATTTCAATTTGTTTGGCAAGTGCCACACGATTTTCAGTGCGTTGCGAAATAATCGGCACACCAGAGCAAATAGAGATGACTGCCGCGCATGTGCAAATACGTTTGGCACGTTGGCCTAGTTTCAAGATACGCTCCTTGTCAACCGATAGCACCTCTGGGAACTCCTTAGACTCGTCCCAGTCCATAAGTTCCATGTAGGCATTAGAGATTGTTTGTTCTGGCGATGAGGGCACATTATTAGCATCATGTGCACAACTGTTCTTCAGCCAATTTTCGGTGGCTGGGAAGCCAACTATAAAGATGCATAAATTAAAATTTGTATATTTAAAATGTAAATGTCTTCGAAATTAACTAACATTTGTAATACTCCAAATATTCCTTGAATTTCTTCTTCTCATATTCCACCGAATTGGCCATAATGTCATTGCGTGCAAAATCGAGTAAAAAGTTGACCATATCTAATTTCATTAGCGCCATTGTTTCGAGTATATTCTTAAAAGTATCCACCACATCTGTGATTTCAGTCAATTGACGCACCATTTCGTCACGTGCTGGTGCACACGACTTAGCCATAATTTGTATGACAAAATTGGCATAAGCTCTAAAATCTAAAACACCCTCCTCGGCTTGTTGTTTGAGAACATCGATGTCCAGTATTTCGTTGATGTGCTGTAAGGCACGTGTATTATTCTGCGAGATGATTTGTGGAAAACAATCTTTGATTTCAGCCAATAATTGTATGGCGTAATCATAGCAGGGGGGATTTTCATTCAATTCACCACGCAATACATTCCAGAAGGCTTTATGCATAATATCTTTGATGCGGCGTTCCAGGCTATCGTGTTGAAAGTTGATTGCATTAATTTAGTAAACAACTTTGCAATTTCAGCTCTTATGATCTTACCTGTTCTCTGGCGGTTCATAAGGCTCGAATTTAAACTCTGGATTAATGGCAATTTCGTGCACCAGTTCCATGTTTTGTATATTTTTTAGCACATCACCCACTTCGTGCAGTGTTAGCACCTTTGGTGGACTACCATCCATGCTGGGCAGAACGAAGCGCGCCAGCCTGAAGTAAAGAAAAGTAAAAAATTTACCGTTAAAGTAAAATAAACTAGCATGATTTTACAATTACTTACTTGTCAGAACTTTCACTCTCAGTGCGACTGCGCAAACTTGAGGCACCGGGTGAGGTACCGAGTAAATTTTCGGGCGGATTAGACTCGCCACCAGAACCGTTGGAGTCCATTCTGAATAAGAAAGTAAGACATTTATAATACAGTAATAGCATAAAATAATTTGGAAACTAAATTTAACTTAAAAATTTGTACTAAAGACGCTTTTTATAAAATTGAGCTTAATTTTTTTTATAAGCATTTTTTTGTTTTATTTCAAAAATTCAAATTTACTGCTTATCGTTTTAAATT